GCATCGTACACTCAAGACAACAATAAGATGTCAAACCACACAACATTAGGTAGACGTTATACCTCTAATCTTTCTGGGCCTGCGGATGAGCTTTAAAGAAGACATTCACGCCTCCGCAGCAGAACTCGTTTACGGGATTCCACTCTCCTTGCCTGGTGAGTTTTTCACAGATATTAAGTCTAATGAACCTCATTTGTTCTTATAAAATCTCCGTCAGACTATGCGACAGCTCAGATTCACGCCTACAAGTCATCACGACAGAACCAAGTCTTTCGTACACAAATCTCTTCCTACGTGTTCTCACGTGTTCGTAAGGGTGGACTCACTTCGCAAACCCTTGGAACCGTCTTACGAAGGACCCTTCGAAGTAATCGAGAGGCCCACTGATGAAGTATTTTTGGTAAACATCAACGGAAGACCAACGACAGTTAGCACAGAGCGTCTCCGTCCAGCCTTTTTCGAGAAACCACCTCCAGACAACGCTTACGAGACAGCAGACCAGAATCGTCTAGCTCCAGTAACCTCTACGCAACAGTCTTCTGTTAGCAAACATATTCATTTCGCAGTTTAACCCATTAACCGCTGAATGTACTGGAATTTTACCTCGAGTTCAGCGTTTATTTCTCGTATGATGTTTCATATAAGGAAAAAAATCGAGAATACATAAATTTTATAGTTTCAAGGTCGCTCTTTCGAATGGCGATGAGAAAAATTTCAAAAAATTGCAATTTCCAATATTTTTTTGCAAAATATGTAAAAAATCATAATTTTCAGAATCATTTTTTTTCGTTTCTCATAAAATTTTTTGTCAAAACGCATTCGTATCGACTTAAAATAAGTCATAAACGTGCACCCGATGTGTCCACTAAAGGAATCCATCATACTTGATTTTTTTTTTTTTATTGTCTTATTAACAGAATGGCGGTCGATACGACGACATATTTGTGCGTTTTTCAAAATTGCCCATCATCTAACATGAAAGTAATTCTATTTGAACAAAACTCATTACTCAGGGGTTTTTGGGGTCGCTGATTACGAATTAGTTTTGTTAAATTCAAAATGGCGGATCCAATATGGCGGACCCAAAGTATTAAATATTCATCGATTTTTGTGGTTTTCAGTATCTTTATGGTTTTTCAGTCGCTGATTCCGAATTCATGATCAGATTTTCGAAATTCAAGATGGCGGACCCAATATGGCGGGCGAAAAATATTAAATATTCATATATTTTTGTGATTTTCAATATCCGCATGTTTTTTGGGTCGCTGATAACGAATTTGTGGTCAGATATTCAAAATTCAAAATGGCGGATCCAATATGGCGGACCCAAAATATTAAATATTCATATATTTTTGTGATTTTCAATATCCGCATGTTTTTTGGGTCGCTGATAACGAATTTGTGGTCAGATATTCAAAATTCAAAATGGCGTCTTCAAAATAGCGGGCACCATCTCTAAAATTTCAAATTACGCAAATGAAAAAAATTTTCTTCGTATTGTATGCAAAATTGTCAAGAAAAAGTGTCTCTTGTGATTTTTATTTAAATCACACTGTTTCCGAGAAAAAAATTTACATTTTCATAATGCAATGATAAGACTCAAATCATAGATAAAGATTTAGTGACTACGCATCGGTGACATTAAATTTCGTAATATAAATAATAAGTTATTAATTTAGTAATAAAAAAATTTATCCATTCAAGCATAACAAATATTTGAAGTCATTTTCCAGAACCAGTACTCAAAGAGCGAGTGCTGTTGGTAGACCGTTTGCTCAACCCTTATATTATTACTAGATAACTACGTTACTACTACGTTACTACTAGACAATAGTCTAGCATCCAATTTTATGTGCAATGATTTTTATGGCGAAATTCACCGAGCTGGTCCATCCTCATAATGATTGCGGATAAGATTAGTCATACTTACTGCCACTAGGCGGCGATGCTATCCGCGGGAGAATTCGTGCAGCGTTTAGTGTCGAACCAATAGGTGATTTTTTAATTTGATGTATTTGTTTGTATAATTTATTTATAACTTTGTAACGTACTTTCCTTTCTAAATAAAGAATAACATTCATAAAAAAATGGTGTTTATTTTTTTATAATAAGGGACCATATAGCATATTTTCATATTACAAGAATTTATAACAATTAATAATTGCAACCCCGTGTTTTTATAATTATATAATATATAAAATAAGCGAATAAAAAACAAAGGAACCAAATAAAGAAAAATGTGCAGAAGTGTCCTTGATTTGAGTTTTATCATTGCATTATAGAAATGTAATTTTTTTTCTTGGAAACAGTGTGATTTAGATAAAAATCACAAGAGACACTTTTTCTTGACAATTTTGCATACAATACGAAGAAATTTTTTTCATTTGCGTAATTTGAAATTTTAGAGATGGTGCCCGCTATTTTGAAGACGTCATTTTGAATTTTGAATATCTGACCACAAATTCGTTATCAGCGACCCAAAAAACATGCGGATATTGAAAATCACAAAAATCTATGAATATTTAATATTTTTCGCCCGCCATATTGGGTCCGCCATCTTGAATTTCGAAAATCTGATCATGAATTCGGAATCAGCGACTGAAAAACCATAAAGATACTGAAAACCACAAAAATCGATGAATATTTAATATTTTGGGTCCGCCATATTGGATCCGCCATTTTGAATTTAACAAAACTAATTCGTAATCAGCGACCCCAAAAACCCCTGAGTAATGAGTTTTGTTCAAATAGAATTACTTTCATGTTAGATGATGGGCAATTTTGAAAAACGCACAAATATGTCGTCGTATCGACCGCCATTCTGTTAATAAGACAATAAAAAAAAAATCAAGTATGATGGATTCCTTTAGTGGACACATCGGGTGCACGTTTATGACTTATTTTAAGTCGATACGAATGCGTTTTGACAAAAAATTTTATGAGAAACGAAAAAAAATGAGTCTGAAAATCATGATTTTTTACAAATTTTTGCAAAAAAATATTGGAAATTGCAATTTTTGAAAATTTTCTCATCGCCATTCGAAAGAGCGACCTTGAAACTATAAAATTCATGTATTCTCGATTTTTTTCCTTATATGTTTCATACGAAAAATAAACGCTGAACTCGAGGTAAAATTCCATTCAGCGGTTAATGGGTTAATTCAAACTACTAGGAGGGGAGTACTGTGGCGTCTCCCTAGTTACTTTTTAGTTTCAGTTCCTGCCACCGCGGCATGCTCAGCGCAGTACAGCCTTTCTTTACTTAGCGTGTAGAAACTCTATATACTTACCTTTCCTTATGTACTAATATACTATTCGTTCTCGTTATCTCGTGGAAATTATTATTAAAGATTATATATACAGAACGCAAAGTTTTGTTCTATCCGCCTAATCGCTTTTCCATCATAGAATATCCTCTGCAATCGAGTGAGATCAATTTTTCCAACGACGTAGCAAAGTACGCCACACATGCTATCAAGGAGCAGCGCTGGGCTGTTAAAAAGATGGATGGACTTCTTGGAGGCTGCGCTTATCAACAGCTCCTGGCCTGAGAAATACTCTGCTCAGGATAACGAGATCCCGATGGACGTACACGAGAGGGCTGCTGAATTACAAAGGAGAATGGTCGAAGCCTGCGACACGGCCATGCCGAGAAGTAGGTTCAAGCGCAAACGGGCTATGCATTAGTGGAGTCAGAGAATCGCGGAACTGCAAAGTGAGGCGATGAAGGCTCGTCGATGTATTAAGAAAGCGAAGCGCAAAAATGCGATCCAGGAAGAGATGGAGCAGAAAATCTCCGCATACAGAATGGCCAAGAGGGAATTGCGATCAGAGATTCATAAAGAGAAGGAGAAGTCTTGGAAAGACCTCCTCTTATCGCTTAACGCAGACCCGTGGGGAACAGCCTGCCGTTTGGTTCTTAACAAACTAAGATACTGGACGGTTCCCTACACAGAGTCCTTAGACCCACACTTTTTGAATGAGGTGATAAGGGTCTTATTTCCTCTCCCGACGGAAGAGGAGACTAGATGGATAGAATCCGAGGAGTTACCTGCATCGGGCCCTGGACAGTGGACTCCGGACTTGGAAGTGACAACCGACGAAATTAAAGTTGCCGTTAGAAGAATGAGGCAGAAAAATGCGGCCCCTGGTCCGTCGGGTGTGGCCTAATCAGGCGTGGTTCCGCGCGATGGTTCCGATTCACGCTCATTTATGTGAGCTATTCACACGATGCCTTAAGACTGGTGTATTTCCAAAAATCTGGAAGAAATCCAAGCTGGTCCTACTTCGTAAGGAGAGTAAGCCAGCGAATCATCTCGCTGACTACAGGCCAATCTGCCTGTTGGACGAGGAAGCCAAAATATTTGAGAGAATTATTGTGGCTAGACTGAACAACTTCCTGGACCTCCCCTTTGGAGGTTCGAGGTTGAATACGGCACAGTATGGTTTCAGAAAGGGGCGAAGCACCACTGATACAATCCTCAATGTAAGAGGCTTTGTCGAAGAACTTATAGAATCCACGGGAGGAGTAGTTATAGGCGTTTCGATTAATATATCGAACGCCTTTAACTCCCTCCCGTGGGAAGAAATCGGTCAAGCGTTAAGTAACATCAAGATCCCGCTGTACTTGCGCAGAATTTTAAGATCCTATCTGTCAGACAGGCTACTTTCATATACGGACGGAGAGGGTGTCATCCGCACACGTGAAATCGAAAGAGGAGTACCCCAGGGCTCGGTTCTCGTACTTTACCTGTAGATCCTGGGGTACAACGAAGTGCTTCGAAACGCGGATTTGCCGGCAGACTGCAAGATGGTATCATACACTGACGACACTTTTGTCTTGGCTGGTGGCCAGTCCTGGAGTGAAGCTATACTCAGTGCCAACGAAGCGGTGGCGGACGTGTCGCAACGTCATGAGACTCTCGATCTCGCCCTCTAAATTGGAAGCGGTTTATTTTAGAGGTGACAGAGCTCGTAGGCCGCCTGCAAACACGACAATCATGGTGGAAAACGCTGAAGTTCCGGTCAAGGAGAGTTTGAAATACCTCGGCGTCACAGTGGATAGTCGATGGACGTTCAGACAGCACTTTTTAGCAACAGGCGAGAAACTTAAGAAGACGGTGGCTAAACTCTCAAAGATTCTACCCAACTTAGGAGGCCCCAGTAGCAGGGTACGGCGCTTACATGCCACAGTAGTGGATTCCATAGCTCTCTACGCGGCCCCCGTGTGGACCGACAAGGTAATGAAAGACAAAAGGATCCAGAATGACCTGAATCAAATACAAAGGAAAATAGCGTGCAGAACGATCAAAGGCTATCGAACTATTAGCCACACGGCCACGACCATCCTTGCTGGTATTCCCCCTCTCTTTCTCAAAGGTGATATGTACACTGAGATTTATGAAGAAGTTAAGGAGTACAAAGCAGGCGGACGTAGAGAAGTTCCTACACGTGCCATGACTTACACGTCATTCGAAGGCACGCAAAGGAAGGATTGTTCAGGAAATGGGAGGAGTGGATGAGAAGACCAGGCCGATCAGGCGGCGAGATAGGGATAGCGATTCGTTCCCACTTGAAGGAATTGACAACGGCGAAGGTGGGTCTCTCCTACCGCCTGACACAAATGTTATCGGGCCATGGCTGCTTCGGCCAGTTTCTGTGCCGGATAGAGAAAATCTTCTTTCTGGACAACGCAATGCACACTATTGCGGAATGTCCCGCTTGGGAAAGAGAGAGGGCGGAACTAAAAGACAGGGTAGGGAACGATATCTCGTACCCTGGTCTAATTCTGGCCCTCTTACATTCGAAAGAAAGAAGAGAAGCAATCCTTTCCTTTGTTGAAAGGGTCATGAGCGCCAAGGAGGCTGCAGGAAGAGAACGGGAGCGAGAAAGAACGCAACAACAACACGCTCAACTCTTCGACAATTTAAAGGACGAACAATCCGGAAGAACCGTCAGAAAGAAGAAGAGAAGAAGAAAGGAACCGGACGATGATCCCGGAGGAAGAAGGAAGCGGCCCCACCTCTCTAGGCACAGGAACACTAGCGACTAGATAGGACGATAGCGACTAGAAGACTAGTGACATGATTTCTCCCACGAGAAATCGACGGTAGTTAAGCGGGGGGCGGGGGCTCGGTATGGGTGTCCGGTTTATCCGGTCCCCCTGCCCGTCCCCCATCCCTCTGCCCGGAACCCTCCGGGGGCGAGGAGCGGGAGACTTTTCGTCCCCTTGCAGAGGGCGAAGGGCGGGTGACAGAGGAAACTGATGTCCTCCTCTGTCACAAAGTTAGGTAGACAGCGCTCCGCGTTTTCGGGCTGGGGATGGGAGGAGAGTACCGATGGCAAGATCCCTCCCATCCCCTCCTTGTTGCGCCCCAGGTAGGACACTCGTGAGGTTTTAGCGGGTAGGCCCCGGCCGATTAGGTCGGGGAGAGTCCCGCATAACCCCGTCCCCTTCCCCGAGGGGCGGGGTATGTGTAATGCATTTCCTCACGTTAAAAAAAAGCTCAAACTTTAAAAATCTCAATATCAACATTCCTTTCACCATAAACATTAATTTCTTTTACTAACCTGAGGTACGTCGATTTCCTCAAAGTTTTCCATTAAAAAGCAATAATTCACTTCTTAGCACTCTATGATTTTTCAAAAGATGCAGCAAAACACAAAACGCTTTTGCAGTTGGATAAATTCAACTGTAAACGCGTCAAACGCGACAGTGCTAGAAGTCACTATAATCTAGTTATTTCCCCAATGACGCGCGCATTAAATGACGGGACCATGAGATTGAACCTATGTCGCTGCAACGTGAATCTAGGGACTTATAGTGAACAAAGCGCGTGAACAAGTTAAATGATATCTAACAGTTGCCAACTTGATAGAACAATTGTCCGTGTGCGTAAATACCATATATGTAATACTCCTATATTGCTAGTGCCCTATCTTGACAATGAGTTGGAGCGATGCCAATATCACGGTGCCGACATAATATTCACGTCTCCTTCTTTTGGTGTGCTGCAGTGTTCTGTGCATGCGGTAACGAGTAACGTATGCGCGCAAGGCTGTCGCACACCAGTAGAAAGAGAAGGTATTATTTTATCTGCACCGTGATGATGGCACCGCCGTCGGACCTCTACTAGCAATATAGGAGCATGGTGGAAAGAATATAAGGTGAGATATTGCGCATGATGGCGACATGGAGGGGTTGTTTAAAACCAATTCAACCAATCAGTTCTGGCCCATTCAGAGAGGCGCGTATTACACTATTGTAGGCCATATTGAATTTTGCACTTTGGCCAGATCTGATTGGCTTACTGCTCCCTACTACTTTTAGACGATTGCACATCCACCGGAATAGCTCACCTTATATTCTTTCCACCATGTATAGGAGTATTATATATATGGTAAGTACCCTCCCCCGACTCAGGACGCCTGCTGCCACCCAGCGGTGAGCCACGCGCCAAAGGAGAGAAAGGAGAGACAAGAAGAGTTTTATTTAGAAAAATAGCTCGTTGGCTTTCATGAAAGCCAAGAGCAGACGATAAAATTTGGGGGAGGGGGAACGTAGGGCAGGGAGAAGGGGGGAATTAGGAAATCTCCGTACAATATAGTTCCGTATAGGAGCTGAATTTAAGTTGAATTTCTCACAATGGAATAAAAGATGATGAATTGATTGGCAAGGATCGCCACAGGGGCAAGCCGGAGAATTCACCATATTCACTCTGTATAAGCTCTCATTGACATTTATGTGGTTCGATCTTAGACGATTAGTAATAACAATTTCTTCTCTTGAAAGATTGATTCTGTGAAACCATGTTTTATTTGAAGAAGCATTATAGAAATTATCATAATATAGGGTACCCTTGGAACTTGAAGTTAATTTCATATTTTCTCTGAATTGATTGTTCGCAAGCGTAGTAGATTTCACAAGTAGATCCTCGTAGGGTACCTACAAAGGGGGGCCTAAATCCCTCAGAAACAGCTAACTTAGCCGCTTGATCAGCAGATTCGTTGCCTGGTATCCCCGCGTGAGCCGGCACCCAGAATAGCAGTAAGAAATTTGCTAGCAATTTGGCACCAATTTGGCATCAAACTCGTTCAAAGTTTGGTAGCAAATCCGGTGCCATCTGTGTCAGCAATAAGCTTGTGTTTTGCAGGCAAAGCTTGCGTTACAAAACTAGACAGCAAATTGGCACCAAATTGATAGCAAGCTTTGCGTAGCGCTGTTTGGCGATAAATTGGCACCAAATTGATAGCAAGTTTTGAGTAGCGCTGTTTGACGACAAATTGGCAGCAAATTGGCAACAAATTTTGCGTAGCGTCAAATTCACAGCAAAAATCAAGCAAAATGTGATATTTTGCAATCATTTAAATGGTTTTTGATCTACACCTTAAGAGATAATTAGTTATAATACATAATTGTGTGTATATATATTGGTGTAAAAACTAATCAATACAGTTTTATCTTTGTTGCTAAAATATTATTGATTTGATTAGCTTCACATTTCTAAATGCACATGAGAAAGTTATAAAATAGTCAAAAATTTTCAGAGATTTAGAAAGCACAAGAGCTTTCCCAAAAGAGCTTGGAAATCTCCAGATTTGCTTATTCGATTCCCAGCAAACACAAATACATTAATATAACATTGCCGTAATGAAACGGAAAGTAACAAGTAATAATATCGTGTTCGTTACATGCAATATTCACGTTAGTTGTAATTTCCCACTCATACGAAATTGCAGCTATATAACATGAATATGATGTATTATTGAAATGTTATACATATAACTGAAATATGAAGTATGTCACTGTTATGTAACTATTATTTTATTTGTTATAAAATAGTAATGTAACTACCTGATTTTTATACTCGGACTAGCTCGTCGGAAAAATGCGTGTCGTATAAAAAAGGTTCGGCGGAAGGAGTATTCGCGTCGGAACGGTGCGGCGGAAAATTATGTGAAACGTCGGAAATCGGAAAAGCAAAATACTAATGCGAAAGTAATAATTAGACAAGAAACATGGTTTATTAAGACAACTAGATAATAAAGAAATTATAATAATAGAAGAGAAGATAACATTGGAATATATAATTAACGGACGCGACTTACAATAATACAGCGAAGAAAATAAACGAGCGCGGGTAACAGAAAATATATATATACAAGCGAGCGCGGACAACAGAAAAATGTACGTATATATTATCGCAGAAAACGGACGCGGACACGGCAACGAAAACTAAATCTAAACGGCGCGAGATATATACAGGCGGTCGCGGGTTTCTCGACGGCGATTTGCAACGCGGCGGAACGCGGGTATACGCCAGCAAGCGTCGTTTCGCGGCGCGCTACGTAATTTTGGCAATGCTAGGAAAAGGAAACGGAGTTGGTACTTGACGGCCGGGAACGCCCGACAGAGGCAGGGAGCGCCCTACCCATTTTCGAATGTCAAGTACCAAGACGGGATTTTCGGGATGCGGAAAAGAAGGTAAGGAAGGTAGGAGTATTAACTAATTACGGCTGTCCGGCGGCCGGGAGCGCCCGGCAGAGGCAGGGTACACCCTACCCCTCAGGTTCGTCGGACGAACGAGTCGATGGATCGGTATCGTGAGCTAAGGAACTGGTGATCGGATCGGATGTGTCAGGAAAGCGGTGAAGACAAAAATGCCTCGCGCGGCTTGATATCGCGGTATCTTATACTCGACCGCCAGTCTCGCTCGCAATACTTCGGCCGGTCGCGGTATTTTCCGCCGATCGGCTTCTCGTGGAAGATTTCCGATCGGCGGTCCCCGACGACGGTCGGTACCTTTCGGCGAGACTGGCGGTTCTAACGGGAGCTCCCGTTGGCACCACGCGGGAACGATGCATTTTAGGGGGGCATCGTTACAGTAATATCATATCGTTACGTTTTTTTAGTAAGCTTAAATTACAAAAACAGATTCCTGAATTAATTCTAAATAAATCTATTTATAATTTTATAGTACACGATAAATACAAAAATGTTAATTATTTTATTTCCTGAATAGTGCATCAGAACATAAGTAAAACACGCTACGAAATAGCTGTTTTTTTTTACCATCAGTTGTTCCAAAGTACTATTGAAGAAAATGCCTATAATAAACATTTTGTTATATATCATTCGTACTATAAAATTCTAAATAGCTTTATTTAGAATTAATTCAGGAATCTATTTTTTTACATTTGCAATTATTGTATCTAGGAATAAAAAAATACTTTAAATATTTCATTATTATTATAAAAGGCTATAGCAGAATAAGAATGGTAAAAGTGCCCTCTCCTAAAAAGTCGAGTTGACATAGACCATTCGAAAGGTAATCAAAAAATATATCGATAGCTAAAATTTCAAGTCCCTAGACCCTTCTATAACGGTAGGAGACCTAAAAACGTGTTTTTCTAATATTATTTTCTTCTGACGAGTCTTTACATCAGAGAGTCTTGTAAAAAATCATAGAGGTGTGGTTTTTACCTACAAATAACAACAATTTTTTGCAAGACATATAACCTC